CAAGTGCAATTAAGCGATTGCGCGCCGGCTGGGGCCGTTTGACCGTCATCGCAGACAATGAATTCGTGTCATGCCAGAAGATGACGGCAGATTAGACCACGAGCCGAATTAAGGGGATGACTGAATCTTCTCCTACCCCCCTCCCCCCCTTCCGCGGTTTTCCTTGGCTCGGCGCGAATTAATATTAACGAAGAAGATTACTCCGCCACGCCAACATGGCTCGCTTTGATCTTTTTCGCGCGACTCGATCAAGACACGAACATTTAAAACAATGCTGTATTGAAATAGCTATATTTTAAATCGAACGTGCGTTATTTTACCATTAAATATATATAGAAATTTTATTCGTTAATATAATCTTAATCCATATTATGACACGAATAGAAAGTCATTTTCTATGGAGCTACTCTGCGATGGTTCGATGTTTTCTAAATTCTCGAGTTGTCGGGTTTTCTTGTTAGGCAGGAGAGCAGACTTACACGACGAGTTTACGTTAGGGGAGCAGCAAACGCGTTTCATCTCGCGACGTTTGCTTTATTTAAAACGTTAAATAAACCACCGCTCGGTTGAAGATGGCTCCCTATTCCCGCGTCACGTGTAAACAACGGCACGCGCGACGCGTGTTTACAGTTTCGCGCGCTGGAAGAGTAAACGAGCCGCGGTAACGTTCAAATCTCCCCAGCGCTACTGTTCCGCGGTTTCCATGTGTATTTTTATGAGCACCGAAATTAACCACCGCCGGTTACCGGCCAACGCTGTCCCATGCAGATTCCTTACCGTCGTGGATAAAAATAACTATTTCTCGCCGAAATCGCATCCTGGTTTTTCTCTTTGCTTAAACAAATATTAACGTGCGTGTACAAGTTGCCCGAAAGATCGTTGAACAGTGATTTTTCTTCGGTACTCGAGACAGTTTTGTGCACAGGGCATGAAATAGTCAAGTATCGATAAATAACGATAAACGAAACGTGCACGAGTGTATATACCAGTATCCTTGATGAGGTTAGCTCCAAATCCACGGTGTACACATTCGAACGTAACGGCATCGAAGCTGACACGCTACCCGTATGAGTGAACCACGAGATAGACCAATTTAGCCAATGACAAATAAGACGCAATGATTAATTTTGACATGCATAGGTCACGGCGGATTCTGCACGAATCGTCTTTGTTCTTGTAAAATTGGCCCCTGAATTATTTTACTTGGATCAACTTGACAGTTTATTAACGTCTCAACAAATGACGGTCGTAGAGCAACGATTAAGTTTTACTCACGAATATGATGTTGTAGATTTTGTCGTAGAAAGTGATGGGCGTCTTCAGGACAGTTTCCGCAGACATGAGCATTCCATTGCTGTCCGCTTGCAGGACCGAGGTGCCCGGTGTCGAATAAGGGTACAAATCGCTCTTGGATAACGCCGCGGCTAAGGGCACGAGCAGGGCCACGACGGCCACCAGCCGCAAGACGCTGGAACACGCGCGACGAGTCATTCTCTCGGACTGCCCTCACGCTACTGTCGATCGGCGCGGTTACGAGCCGTCGTCTTGCCCGCCCCCTAATCGCCTTTGCCCGCTCATCCTCTCTTCTTTTGAACCCACGAATCGGCCTCTGCTCTCTTCGGTACCACCGATAGTTTCAAGCTCGGAAACCCCCACCCTTGGGTCCGTTGGATCATCTGTTCCTCGACAAGGGCACGCGCGGGTATCGGGACGATTGCTTTTCGCGTAACGCTTCATTTGTTTCTCATCTATTAAAGAATATTATACCTTGGGGGTGAGGGTGGGGGTGTGGTGGTGGTGGCCCCCCCCCCCCCCCCCCACGCAATTTTGAAAAAGAAAAATCACGGTACATCGACGTGCCTCTAGCAGAGGGCTGGCTAAATAAGTGTTTACTGTTTAGAATATGCGTTTGGGACTCGATAAACTCTATAAAAAGAAGGTTATTTAAAATTGTCGAAGATAGATCGAGAATGAAGCTCGACGAACCGATTGCTCTACCACCAAAGCGTTAAGACTGATATGATAATTGCATTGTATTTGAGTAATGTTACGATTAATTGTTATTGTATTGTAGTATAGTGCCTGTGGAATAATACGGAATACCATCGGGAACGTTACGCTGCATCTATTTTTATTCCGCCAGGAGTTTTATCTTTTATCTGTTATGCGTAATATAAACGAGTTGGCGGCGCGCGTAGAGAGCCGATTGACTCAATTGCACCTTCTCGGCTCGTCTAATGCCAAGGCCTTTGAATTATTAGACAATTTTCACCCGTACGCTTCTTTAATTTAATTGCGGCAATAATCAGGTTTTATCGGCAAACGGTGCAATTGAGCTTCAAGGTCGATCCACTTTGCATTCCGTGCCCACATCGAACGATCCGAACGATTATTGGTCTCTCCAATTCTAATCCCCGCAGTCACCTCCAATGAAAATTTATTTCGTACTGTAATTTACGAGGGAATATTCCGGCAGCGGTTTCGTTAGTACTAGAAAATTCTTATTAATGCCTGAAAATTCCCCAGTTTTCAAGATTCCAAGGGCGCATCGTCTCCCCAAAAATGAACGCAGGCACGGTGCCAGAGACCCAGGAGGCTCGAACATCCACGAAAATCATTGTTACTCTTCCGCGTCGTTAGCGCACTTCCGTGGCCCGTTGTTTCGCGTCTAATTACAGTCGCGTCCTTACCTGCGTCGCTGCATTCAATCTCGACCATTTGTTTTCTTGCAATTACACCAGCGCAGTCGAGCCTTCGTGCTCGTTGCTCATTTTCCCTTTAAACAAGATCACCTGCAGATTAACGTAGATCGTTATTTTTAGGTAACGAAACAGTTCCTCGAGTTGCGCTAACATTCGCTATGTTCGCTCTTCGGCTCAATGAGATACTCGACGGATCGTTATTCGCGAAGAGCGAACAGAATTTCTGAACAGAATTTTTCAACAGAATCCGTAGCAGTGCTGCAGCACGCGAATCCGTGTCGCGAAATGACGCCCAGACGCGATCAAACGGAGGTGGACCTACATACGGCGTCTACACTGTCTGGCGCGGTTCTAGAACGTCTCGATAAATTGTCTGAGGAATTCTTCCGCGGCATTTGTCCCTCTCTCGTGCCTCGTTTTTGTTGCGTCTCCTTAAAACGGAATTCAAGACGGGAATTCTAGCGGATGGGATAAGCCGGCACACCGAAAGCTGCTCGCTTCGTACACGTTGTAAATTGATCTTTATTACAAGAAATTACGTGACTAATCTGTACATATAAAATATAAATATAATACAAGTACTATGGTACAGTAGACGCTTGTGTGTGGTACGTTTTGTCTTGTCGTGTGTGTTTGTCTATACGCTTTTCTTTCAGCGGGATCGCGAAGGTCGGTTACTTCTTAATCGATAACTTACTGTGACGCTAATATTCGTTAATCGTTGCTAATTTGTATCCACGGTAGACGGAGTGACGGCGCTCACGGCGACCCTTTCAACTCGAACGGAAATCAAGAAGGAGAAAGGATACAGGGGAAAGGAATGCGAATGTTTTCGGAAGAATCTAGACGTAAAATCGAACGTATCCGTGGGATGCTGTGTCTCAGACAGAGATGGACAAAATTTCTTACGAATAACGAACGACTAAAAGGACTGACATGTAAAGATTTATTTACGAGGTTTACTGGACAGCTATACTTCTACTTGTTTATAGCGAAGTGTCTTCGATCTATAATTCAAATTATTATAGATATTTAGATAAGAATTTTGCCCATCTCTGATTCCAGAGCGACGCCGGTCCTTCGACGTTCTTGGGCATCTTCGTGGAAAGTGGCTTCTGGATGCCGTCGACAGGGAAGAAGTGTATCGCCAGTCTTAAGAATGCTGTTCGACTAGTTCGAACTGAAATCAACCGGAAGGGAAGGAGGAACACCGAACATCGCGACGGACGATGATTCCGAGGGTGAACACATGACATAGTCGGCAGTGGCAGGTAAGGAACAGTCTAAAACACGGACGAATATCGTACGGGTTCCTTTAACAACGGACAACGATACAGGAAACTCGGTTTATATCGTTAGCTCCGGCAGCATCGAGAACGGTCCTCTGGAATAACCGGGATTAGCAATGCTGCTCGTTAAGCGCACTCGCGAATTGCACGATTCTGTTCCGCGAACGTGGTCAGTCTGAATCGCCAGACATGCGTCTGGCACGCCATCGACGTAACGATTCTTCGTACGATAACAGTCGTAGACGATACAATTACTTGAACGATACACGTGCTGAGATTGTACAAACTGTCGTAGGGCGTAACCATGTCGTATGTATTGCTGTATGTGCCTCGTTGCATAAATTATTGAGCGAAAAATTGTTACGTCCGTAGCCTCTAAAAATCTCTGCGAGAACTGTTACTAACAACAAAAATTACTTCACATTCTACCTAGACGCTCTACCATATTCCGCTTAACCTGGGATCGATCTTTCGTTGTGCCATCTATAGCTGCGATACGTTGCGCACAGAACGAATGCAACTCGACCAGAAAGACGGGTGGTTTTCATCGATATCGGTACCCCGTCTCGCCAAGCTTCGCATCAGAACGCTGGAAGCTCTCTATTTCTGCTGCGCATTACCGCCATCCCCGATTTATTTTCATCCCGTCTATTTTCATTCTCTCCGACTCCTTTTCTCCCCACTCTCTCTCTCTACACCCACGTCTTCTCGAAGCGTGATTCTCACGTTTAAACCCGTACACGCTCTCTTCTCCCGTTCCTTTCGTCCCGGGATCATCTTTTTCTCTCTGTCTCGTACACAGACATACGCGTATATACACAACATCGCTCGTTCTTCGTCTCTCCAGGCTCGCGGAGCGTTCTCCATTTGCCAGAGACCACTCTTGTATACCGAACACGAACCTTTTTACGAATTATGAATACGTTTTACTATCGAAAAGTAACTCTCTCTCTCTCTCTCTCTCTCTCTCTCTCTCTCTCTCTCTCTCTCTCTCTCTCTCTCTCTGTGTTTAGGCGTCTCCTCGGTTACTCTTCGAATCGGTATCGTTCCATCGTTCGCACTTTCTCTCACTCTCGCTCTCAATCTCATCGCTCGTCTTCTCCCTAAGTGAATTACAGAGCCCTACGAAGTGCGGTAACTGTTGATAACGATTAAAGCTACGATAATATCTTGAGTTAATGTGCGTGCACTAAATAATGTTACGACGCGTTTCATCGACTCTTTTTTCCTTCGTCCCCTTTTGGTCTTAATATTAAATTCGTGTTTTTTATTTTATATTTTTTTTTCTTGGCAATCGGTGATGTCTTTGTTCTATAAGTATTTTTTTCTCTCGTGTTACGTTCGCTCGAATCGGTTCGACATACCGTGTCATCATTCAGCTACGCGTCCGCGGAGCTGAGTCTATTTCTATCGATACCAGCTTTCCGATCAATTTATTTAAATTCGACGAGGTTCAAAAGAGTCTTTTTTTTTTTTATCGAATTTCGGTCCCGAATCGTCAGTCGAGGGTCGGGAAATTCATCCCCTACGACGAGGGTCTAATTGTACGTGCTTTCTTTCGTCGTTTTTCGTACCCCTCTTTTGCACTATTATCGCGATGCTTCGATCCTTCATCGATAGAGTCGTGCACGGCACGTCGGTACTCTAATTTTTGTCGATCGCCTGTTTCTAACACTGCGAATTATCCTACTCTTCTTGGTCGTGGTTCTGGTACCTGGACTCGACGACTTTCGACCAGAAACGGTCGTTAGTGTCGGAAGTCGCGTCTCATTTGCCCGTTCCGAGTCAGGCCCAACGGGCCGATCACTCGGTTAATTTACCTAAGAAGTGACACCGACGCGTGATCAGCACGCAAAAGAAAACAAAAATGCAGCACCAACTCGTATGCTAATTTATTTAAGTCAACAAGTACTCGACGTGTGCGGCCCGCGAGTCACCGGACCGCGTCGCGTTCTACGTTAGTTCTCAGCCAACAATCGTAACATCGCTCAACATCTCTCACTGGAAACAATCGTAACGTACACGGTTCCCTTACACGACCATCGGAACGCAATGAAACGGCCGAGACGATTTCTAAAATGGCTCGTACGAGGTCGAGGTTTATCGCAAAGGTGGATAAAATTGTAATTCAGATAACGAGTATAAAGTATAAACCGAACAGATTTCTATACGTTATTGATTTAATCAAATTTATTCAGACTCAATTCGATGTGATAAACCTCGCGGATAAATAGCTCTATGTTGTTTTTATTCGTTTTCTATCTGTGGAATATAATTTTACCCACCTCTGGCTATCGGAGGTTTGATTAATTGTCTTTAGAAAGAAAAAGATCGGGGAGACGGACGATCGATCAAATCTGTGAGTAAACAAACCTCCGGTAATTCTCTGCGTGTTTGAGCTGTTTAAGAAGCATCCTGGGTTGTCGTTTTTTAAAAAAAAAAACCGATTTATTCTTCTCTGTATTTTCCCTGACTAAAACTTTTGAAATTGTTAACGCTCGAAACCAGAACACCCCGTCGACGCGAACGATGCGCCAGAACACGCGAGAACGACGCTTCCCTCGCGAAAAAGAGCGAAAGCTTCCTTTTATTATCGATTACACGTGTAACAATAGCGACGACGTACGCCGACGATGACGACGATATAACTATGTCATTTTAACAACTATTGGACGGAGTCGAGCGACATCGTGACACCGATTACTCCTATCGTTTCTCTCATCTCCCATCATCAGCGACCTCGCTCGTCTCGTTTCTAAATCGTATTGGCGATTCGTTCGATTTTTCTCGCGATCAGCACGCGGTCGAGCACGCTGATCCGAGTCTAGGTTAGGTGATCCGAATTCCAGACATCGGATCCATCCGGCGTGTGCACTGCTGCCGGGGACAGGAGTCGAAGCAAGTGACCAACAGGACGTGGCTCTTGCAGGCCTCTACTCGTTTCTGCAGAATGCAGGTCTCCGCCTCGAGGGCTTCCAAGAACGACGGATCGCGCCAGTCCATACAGTTTTCTACGTGAACTGCAATCAGGAAATAGTGGTTCGCGCGATTATAATTTGTCTGGCAAACGTTAGAGGTAAATTATTCTTAACGCTAAACGAATAGAAGGAAAGAGACTCACGATCGTAGCTCCAGCGGGTGTCGGGCACCATCAAGCGCTTCTTGGCGTTACGCAGTTCGAGCCTAAGAAGGCGCTGGCGTAGTCGCAGGTTGAGTATCCTGGACATCGTGCCACGTGGATCCGAGCGCAACTGCGCGCGCCTGTCCAGGATGTCCACGTCCTCGCTTGTGTACGCGAGTATCCCCGGCACCACGGACGGCGCCTGTGGCAGACGGGCCCGGCACTGGGCCCGTGACCGGAGCCCGCACCCTGCCACCCGTTGTTCCACCGCTGAAACACCCGCACAACGTCGAGGTTAGAACCCCCAGCGCGCCACCTGAGGAGAACCACCGTACGGAGGGACCATTTTAGAGGGTTTACACATGGTTTGCACGGGGCTGGGGTCGAGCTATTTGTTTACATCTCTAGACAGCTCCACCATAGACGAATATGGTCATTCGGACTATCGTCGACTTTCTACTTGGTTCTACTAATTGCAAATGTTGCAGTTACAAGATTCCAGACATGCATTACTCTATAGGGAAGAATCGAAAATCGATACGACTTATTAATTGCATCTCGTGAGAGATTTTCCTCATCGCTGTTATTAAAGAAAGGATAGCCTTAGTATCAGCCGGAAAAGTTTCGTCTCGTCGGAACGCGCCGGATCCGCAGACTAATCGTAGCAATTCGCAAGCCGTATCAACGACATGCATCACCGACGATGTTGATAATTGCATTCCCGTTAACTGCGAGATCGAAGGAGGGGAGTTAAAAGAACATCCGATTAAAATGTGTAAAAAGGATCGCGCGAAGCTTCCGTATTGAATGTAATCTCGAGCAACTTCGGTGAACCAACGTCGATGCTGATCGATCGCGCGAAAACTTCATTATCAATTTAATTATTTCAGCCGCTAATTGGAACGTTTCCTCAAACTTCGATTTCCGCCGAATGGGCGTTGTTTGCTTTCGATTCAGAGCGTTTCACGATCTGCCAGAAATATGTGTCGAGACACGGGAAGAATGTCGGCTACCTTGGTGCTCCTGAAGGGCGCTGGTCTGTCTCGAGGAATCGCTCGCGATGCTGCTGGTCTCGCTGTCCCTGACGATGCTGTCGTAGCCAGAACTTTCGGCGCGATGCCTGGACAACGTAGCTGGAGATAGTTTCGCAGCTCTTGGCGTGGAATCGGCACCGGAATCATAACCCTCCTTGTTCAGACCCAACGATGAACCAAGACTGGTCATCTTACGTTGCATTCGACCCGAGGAAGGCGCTGGCGATGGAATTGACAGTTGCAGCGGGACGGTCGCTGGAAGATAAAGTTCGCGTGATGATTTTGTTCGGAGGTCTGTAGATAACGCGATCGAGAGTACGCAAACGTACCTTGTATTTTGATATCCTCCTCGATGTCCGACTTCCCGGTGACGGTCCTCTCGGGTCTCTCGGCCGCGGTGAACAGTTTCTTCGCCTCGACGTACTCCTCCTCGGGATCCGAGCCCGAGGCTCCGTTTCCAGGTAGCCTCTCCACTTCCTCTTTGAGATTGGGGTTCGAGGCACCGTCAGGATGCCTCAGACTAGAGATGTTACAATCGCCCAACTTGCCGCAGTACCTCCTGGGGCTGGCTATGTGCGCCATGCTGTTCGGGTACCAATAGGAGGCGGTCGCTGGTCTCGTCATGCTTTGACGACAGTTGTCGCAGAACTTTTCCTGATCGGATTTTCCAGCGATGTACGCGGGCTCGCTGTAGATGCTGCCATGATTACTCGCATTGTCGTTGAACATCACGTCCGACAGGGACAAGGACTGACAGCGCGACGGCGGACGGAAGACGGCGGCAGCTGGAATTTGTCCTGCGTTAATGTTATACGAGTTGTAAACCAACGGTGGTTGGCTAACGATGGCAATTTGTTACGGCTAAGTTTCGATTACGGATTCTAAACCACAACAAGAAAGGGATAATAGCAAAAATGTAGCCTACAGGACACGATCAACTCGAGCGTAGTCGGTGAAAACGGTTTGATAAAAGAAAAGGAACCATTGCTCGTGCCTCAAGGAATACCGTATCGCACTTCCGTTTCTACGAGTTCCTCTAGCCAACTAAGCCAAAGTGGAAACTTACATGGAACATCTCTAACGTTCACGTTCGAGTTCTCCCTCTGGTAGGTCACGGAGTTGGAGACATTGGCGAGCGCGAGTTTGCTCTGGTACAATTCGTGGAGGCGCGCCAACTGGTCGAACTTGTGCCTGGTTTCTTGTTCCAGGAAGTCCTCGTGGTCGAAGTACGGCCTCGGCAGCACCCCCGCGCAACCCGGAGGCGGATACTGAGGTCTGTAGCGTTCCGTGTCCGACATCACCGACATCGAGTCTGGAAATGGACAAATTTTTTTACCTTTTGCCCATGTCTCCGGATGTTTCTTCGTCAAGGACGAAAGAAGTGGACAAACAAGAAGGAAAGGAGAGGGAGGACGTTTAACCGAGAAGCTGTCTCCGTCTATCATAGCTCCAAGACGGAAAGTATCGACGAGTAATTATATCGAACCACTTCCACTCTTTGTCTCTTTCCCTCGCCTGGTCGCAATCCCTGTCTGTCTCTCTCTCCCTTACGACACGATTGTTTTCCATCGGGCGCGCTATTACCGAGCCCGAAGAATCTAAGAACCGGCTTTCCGGGGGAACAATCTCCGAAGGCAGTCACTCGAGTGCACTTGGAACGAAGAGGAAAGGGGAATGACAGGTTGGTCCGCGTCACGGAACAGGATGCGCTATAAACGTCACGAAAAACTGTCCAAGAGAACCCTGAATATTTCCTGTTTCCAATGCTTTGCTACAATCTACGTTTGAAGTCGAGTTCTTCAGTCAGCGTTATCGAGGAACGATAGAGTTCGGATTCGAGCGAGCCGCCGAAAACGCTGATTGATTGCTTCAACCAAAATCAACCGACGCGTATCATCAACGCAAAATTTTACCAAACACGTCGGTTTACTTACCGGTAAATGTCGAGACAACGGTGAGGTTCTCCTGACTAAGAATTCTCAAGGGATGTTCCTCCTGATCGCTCTCGGGTAACGGATTCTCTCCCATGCACAACGCGATGTCTTCCTCCGTGACTTGAAGACAGGAGTCCTGCATCGGGACGGGTTCCAAGTCCTCGACCTCGACGATCTCTAGGATCTCGTCCTCGGATGACAAAGAGTGCCTAGACGGTAGCACGATGTCCTTGTGCGAAAGATTCAAACTCTCCATGGACACTTCCCTGCTGACGCCATTGCTCAGTGGTTCGATAAGGGGTAACGGAGGCGGAACGACGATTTCCTCGTCGTCGTCCTCGTCCTCCTGCAAGTCTAACTTCCCTTTGTCCACGCTGTCGTCCATAACCGGGCTGGCCGTCAAGTCCAAGCCGGAATCCGTGTTGGATTTGACGTTCAGCAGATTCAACTTGACGCCTAGCTTCTCGGTGATGTCCTCGATCTCGTTCGCCTTCAAACTATCGCTTTCGGCCGTGGATAACGACGTGTCGTCGTCGTCCATGCCCCCGCAGGTCTTGAACGTCGTCAGCTCCTTGAACTGAGACGATTGGCCGGTCATCTTCGAGGACTCGATCCTGGAAACAGCGTGCTTGTTCCTTTGTATCTGAGACGACTGATTCTCCACCCACTTCCTGATCATGCTTTTCTTGTGGCTGTCCATGAACCCGTATCCGGAGGAATGTTGTTGCTGAGCGTGCATCTGCAAGGTGGGCGGGCCAGTGAGCTGCATGGGGCCGTCTATCCAGGTCTCCCTTTTGTGATGCGAATCCTTCAGCATGTGCCTGGCCTCCGCAACCTTCGACTTGGAGATCCTAGGACCGTCTATCCATTGCTCGTCCGAACCGCCGGTAGACGCCGCGACAGGTATCATCTTGCTGCCAGGGGAATCGTTCGCCTTCGATACTTTTGTCGAAGTAGATTTCCTAGCTGGACTGGCCTTTGGAGTCGCCGTGTGCGCCGGGGAGGTCTGCTTCGAAGCAGTCTGCGTCAACGCTTTCACCGCTTTCGTCGACTTGTGCGCCGGACTACGCTCTTCTGGGACCTTGCTTGGTTTCTCTGCCGCCGAACCCCGCAAAGCCTTCCCCATGGCGCAACGATTGTCGCCAGAGTTTAGGCTCGGTATATAAACGGGTGGATGCTCGCCGTCGGTAGCATCGTCGGTACTTGGGCCAACGTAGATCACAGTATCCGCGGACAGATCGCTAGAGCTGGGGTCGCACTCGCTGTTCTGCCTCGCCGCTTCCTCCCCCGAACTCCCGCCGCTTCCGGTTCCCTGTGTCCCACCGCCAACGAATTTGATCTTCCTTCGCCTCATCCGATGGATCCTGGAGGCCAGTTGCACGGTCGTTAACGTCTCCGTGTAATGCTGAGCGTTCGGGGACACGTGGGCGATCATCGCGGCGTGACACGTCAACGAGCCGAGACACTCCTTCAGTAATTGGGTTAGCTTGTGCTCCTTGTACGGCAGATGCTTCTGGCCGTTGAAGATGGCGAGCAAGATATTACCTAGGCCTGATAAGGGGATGCCGCCCGACGACTTGCCGCGATCCGAATTGCCGAGGTCCATTAAGTGAAGTCTGCTCCTGCCGCCAGCAACTGCGGAATTAAGAATATTCGAGAAATGTATTCGCCGTCTGCTCCGGGAATTAATTAGCTCGGCCTATCCACTTTTGGCTCCGGGAACGAAGTTTCGCTGACTAAAGAATCTCGTTGAAAAGGACATTTTCTTCGTTGACCTTAACGAGCAAGGATTATAAGAAAGAAGTTGCAAGCTTACCTGCTCCCTTGCCGGCGACGCTGTATTGATAGACGTGAAGAGTGTAAAGCATGTGAGCGTCGCCGTCCTCTCTTTGTCTGCCGGCTACCGCAGCATCCAAATAGAAGGCAGCACGCTCCGCGGTTGGTGCACGAAGCTCGCTGTGTTGCTGCAGTTGCAGACTGCCGAACAATGGATCGTCCCTCAAGTACACGGCTGGCGACTGCTCGGAATCTGGCGAACAAGGAGTCACACCAAGTCACGTTAACGCCGATAACTGCCGCATTAAGGTTGGACGTGACTAGCTATACCAAGCAAATGCCCTAATCACGAATCTGAGTCCAACATAAAACGCGTAAATCACGTTCATTTTCCAACTCGTCATTCGATCCGATCATTTCGTGGAAAAATAATATCCAGCGAGGGAAGGACACGATCGCGCAGGTGGTCGGTCATCAGGATCGTAAATGGGCCACGCCCAGTTGCGGAACATCAGCGGTGCGCTCTCAAGATGAATTACGACGTCGGTAAAACATCGAAAGATACACAATGGGAGATATCGCGGACTATCGCTGACTGGTGCGTGTATGCTTGTATGCGAATAATTAACGTAATGAGGAACGCAGTTGCAAACTGTGATCAACGTAACAGCACTGTCACAGCCTCGTCTGGTCTTGGATTATACGTGCGCGCGGATAATCGGGCTTGTTCTCGTTACGATGCACTCTTTGGAAGGTCAAGCATATCTCGCACAAAAACGAAGAAGATCAAACGCCAGAATGTGAGAAAGAAGGAAGTCGTTCGAGGATTACGGAAAGATTAAGAAACCTGCGAACCTTCCGGGGAACAGAATTTTATTGTTCGCCCTCGCACACGCGCGAACGGCTTTCGAACCGTAATAATACTCGCACCATCTGATCGGCTCGTAAACCAGCGTCCGCGTATTTTATGTACAGCCTCCCGTTGGTGACATATTGTCCACACCATGGAAAAAGCTTTCGAGGCGAAACGACGACGAGGAAAGAATATTCGAAGACAACGATCGTTATTACATGTCTATCGATGGGAGACGCGAGAAACATAAAAATGCTGGCCGTTCTCAGCCGGAGAGCCCCGAGATTCCTTGTTCTTCGATAAACCAGCTGAGGTTGGAAAAATTCTGTCGCAGGTACCGAATATCTGAGGACGTTGGCGAAAATATCCTCGACAAATCGCTCGAGAATTTCTGTGCTTTCTTAAAATAATTTTCTTTATATAAATGCAGTATTATGTATACAGGAACTGCAAGCATCGAATCCGAGATGGCTCTTGCCATGACTAAATTACGAAGATATAACCGGCAGCGATTGAAAATTCTACCGAATTAGCGGTAATTGAAACGGTCGATAAATTTGCAATCCCTCCTCTGCGTCTATCGTCACCAACGGATACGATCGTGGAGCGTAGTTTAAGGCGATGCGACGTTTAGATAATACCCTTCGTAAATTGCCAATTAGCGTTTTACTGCCCCGCGAGACGCGGGCTTTGCTTTCGTATAGCGTCGCTACCGACGTCGTAAAGGACGGAGTACCGAGGACATCGCCGATACTTGATTCCAGTTAGTAGTTGCTCGAGGAGCTGCAACGTACGCTATCTATTACGATTTTATGACAGTTTCTAACGTTCCGTGGAACACCGGATTTACACGGAGTAAGTTCCGCCGTTCTGCCGTTCGGCCCCAGAAATAATTCGAGACGCGTCTTCGGTCGAAGGGAACTTGGAAGACGAACCGAGACAGGAGAATCTAACGAACGCAAAATAATGTTCACGCACACGTTGGGCGCGGGTGTATAAATGCGACACGAGGCGTGGCAATATCCATAAAAGGGACCAGAGTGAGAGTAATATTGTCGGCATCTGCGCCGCGTGGCATAGCCTCGCAACGGCGATGAAGGCGACGGGACGTCCACGTTGAAATAAAAAAAACGATCCTTCGCGAGAAGAATTCGTCGATATATGGACGCGTAATGGACGCTGCTCGAGGAACGATCTGGTCTCCGTACGGTTGGCGTGCTCCCGCGGTGGCATCTCGCGCAGGGGTCGAAACGTCACTGGGCCGGATAAATCGTTTTTCGACGCGTTTCGAATACTACGCGGGCGGCCAATCTCGTCCCACGAGGGTGAGCCCGTCGGAGGGTACTAAAAAAAATCTGTTTCCGTTTTTTCGAATGACCGAGAATGCGCCCGGCCTACCGGCTTTCCCAAATGTCTCGTAGACTATCCGAAACCGTAACGCTCCGCGTCCTTTAGGATAGACATGGAATTTTAGTACCAACAGAGGACCGTTACGGGGACTAAAAATATCCAAACGGCGGATACTCGATGTGGATACACCCAGGGACACGGGAATGCGAAAGATATATCGACGCCATACATATCCGAGGTATGGTTCGACTTCTAATAAATAAAAGTTGCGGAATGGACAGTATTTCCTGGGACATTCTGCTATTTTTAGTTCGCGAAAGATCTACGATGGATGAGATCGTTAAGTATCTGTCGCGATAATCTAATAAAATTACACGAACGGCGAAGTAGTCGAAAGTGAACGACCGATCTGGGAAACTTCCAAGAAGAGATACTTTCTGAAAAAAAATCCGCGAATCAACGTCGAGTTAAGTATCGCCTTCGCTCAATTATCTTCATCTCCTTCCTGCACAAAAAGGTCAAACTCGAGCTTCAATTTTCCAGCTTCTCCGTCGTTGTTTTTTATCGCTCGCGACAAGCTGGATCGCGATAATCATTGGTCGTCGTATCAGCGGTGGATCGGACACACCGGAAGGAGTAATTTGATTCCGAGGGAATCGATAATGGCTTCTCAGCGAGAAACAGCTTTTCCCTATAATTCACACGACGACGATCGACCGGCCATTGCCACTTTCATCCGCGCGTGACGACAACCGCTGCTTTGGTCTTTCTGTGTAAAATAAACGTTTCCCAAGATATTTTTACTCAATGAATTTCGACAATTTTCGTCACGGGGATAGCTCGACCTTTTAAGATAGAAACAGTCGGTACTGTGGTGGCAGACATCCTGAATGTTCTCCGAAATAAGTGTACCCAGTGAGGACCACTAGGTCGTCGTCTCGCGAGAGGGTGGAGGGTCGCTACAGGTACTAAGGCGACCCAACGAAGACCGCAGAGAAGGTCGTGGGTCGTCGAGATCCCGGAAAAGCTCGTAATAAGCGACTAGAATATCTGTCGTCCGTCGTAAAAGTCGGTTGCGTCTGTGCTATAACTCGAGAATCCGTAGAGAGAAGCGCGCGGCCACGTTTCGTGTTTTTTCCCCGTTACCACGAGGACAGAGGGAACGAAAAAGTTTTCTATAAATCATTTCAGTCCGTAATACGCATAGGGAATGCTCATTTAGCTGTTAAATTTATTTATACGCCTCGAGGGTATAAATTCCTAGGTACTTTTAATTCGAACTGTCTTTAATTTAATATCACGACTTATTGCTTGTTCCAGCGTCCCCTTCGATGGCCATTTTTATGCGATTATTATGGCTGCTTTCCCGAAAGCCTCTAGTTTCAGCGTCAGGCAAGGAGCACGCTTTAATTAAGGCGAATACGCGAGCCGAATTTCTTAAACACACGCGGGAAGACGTTCTTGCTCGGTCTTCGCGATTCGCCGTTCGCTGCAAGTTTCCGCAAACGGAGGCATACCCGTGCGAAATCTTGCAAAAAGAGGAGCGAGGATAATCTCTAGCGCAACGCTCCGCGCCATCTTGTTAATCCACGCAACGGCCATTAGAATTAACTTGGCGTGTTATTCTTTCATAAGAATCTCCCGGTGCTTCCGCCGTTTATTCCTAGCGGTTCGTTCGGGTTCGCGATGTTTCCACGTTTCTTCGTCTTCTCTGTGTTTCGGCTCGAGGCACGAACTCTATTTCGCGATTTTCAAATTAAGACTACTGTTGATCTCCAACGTAGACGAAAGGCGTTCGTTTCGAATAATTGGTGAACATTAACGCACGAAGAAACCGTTTCGAAATTAAAGTGGTTTCGTAGTCTAGTTTCAATTTCCAGGTTCGTACGCAGACGGTACTTCGCTTTCACGACATATTTAAAATTATTGCCACCGTAAACCAACAATCTACTTTCCAGCCGAAACGCACGGAAATGCCTCGCGTCATTAAATTTCCAAGTGACGAAGTGAGGAAAGCTGTCGTTAACAAAATGACCTCCGATTCCTCTTTCACCGTGGAGAGACCGAGCACGGACCATTGCTCGCTACCATTTGCTTCGGAAGCCAGCCGGTACGTAAGACGACGGTTTTCTTTAATTGCCTACCGCACGGTAGATCCTGGGAGCGTATCCCCTCGTAAAAGTTACCGTCCCTGGTAAACGTTTCTGGTCGCCAAGAGGGACGAGGAAAGTCGGAGGGAGTCGCGCGTGGAAAAAGAAAGAAACTCCGAGGAAATGAACAGGCATATTAACGGGTCGATGGACCGACGAATCTGCTTCGAGAATGCAGTTGGATGCTAAGGACGCGAAATGAGGGAAATGTACGGAATATGAATTCCACGGAGCGAGGAATAACTCGTTTATTATAAGTAGAAGCCGCAATAATAATTGGAGCTTCCCATGTACCTTTCGCACTACCATCTCTTTTTCTTCATTTCTACGTTGTAATGTAGCGACACGGTCCGCAACTTTAATATTCAAATGCTTCCCTTGTACGTTGCGTTCTCCATCGAAAGACTCGTAAAACGGCACGAACAGCGTGCAAATAAATTTAAGGTAGAAATCGGGTAGAACTCAAGAAAGAAATATTATAGATGGTAAAACATGTTCTTCGAAAACCGTAGAATCAGATAAAGCGGTAACTGTTGCGCGAAACCGAATAAATAATGCATTCGGTAATGGAATAAAATACCGCATTCGGGTGGAAGTAGAGGCAGAGATGTTTTGGCCGCAGATGCACCATTGGCTGCAACCCCAACCCTTCTCTATCGATCCTATATACTTTCTGCACGTGCATCGAAACGCAAACATGCGGCTTTGAGGTTATTCGATCGAGTGTTTCGGTCGAGTCGGCAAACAAATGGATATTAACAAATAATTTGTGCGATCGAAGGTTCCATTCCACCATCGTCCCTGGACTATAAACTTCGCCCGAAATGTCTCGTGCATTTGCAAATGAAACTTCTCAGTGCGCGAAACGACTCCTATCTCCTCCTTGTTCGCGAAAGAGTCGATATATCATTGGCAATAATCGTTCCAACGATCGTCGACGGAAAAAGGGAAATTTTCTTGCAGTCGCGCGGCGGATAGCGGCGGCGAAATGAAGCGGAATGAAAATTCTTGCGCTGCCACGGAATACCTCTCTTCGATTTTCCATCGACTCGAACCCTTTTAGCCATTCCGCGAAACAAAACGAAAAACATTCCCGACCGCGTTTTATGCGCACGTTAAAAGCCCGTGTGACGACACAGCTACGACGTTTTGTGCGTTCTTCCATTATTCCCCATCCTCGTCCTTATATCTCTCCTTTCTTATTCGCTTCATGTGCCAAACGGTTCGAGTTTTCGGCCAAAATTTTACCGAAGAAGAATCGCTTCTTGGCTATGCATAGTTTTTTTCTATAATATTCAAGATTATTCTCTTCTCTTATGCCTCGATCGAATATGAAACGATAGCATCGGCGCGACGAGCCGTCGATGAGATGAAAACTTGCATAGAAAAACATTCTGTAAAATACTTTTCTTTCCCGAGAGATCATGCGAGTGCACGCGATCGCTTAAAATTGATACGCGCGATCCTCTTCGAATGTCCTCGCGAGCGCGAGCGTTCCTTCGATGCTTCTCGAAAACACGCTCGTGAAAATATCGAGTCGCTTCGACTTAGTCCCGTAGTATATTTTACTTCGATCGACGTTAAATTTAACTTTCGTCTGCCATAAAAATGGATTTACGTCCCGCGATCGGTATACGCGTTCCAAAAAATTGAAGAGGATAGCGAGGCGGGGGTGTCATTCTCGAACGAAAAACTTCTAATGAAATCGTAAAATATACAAGACGAGACTCTAGAAGAATGATATTACGAACGATTTCTTTGATTCCGTTTATGGTAAAAAAGAAAAAAGAAATTATTTCGGAAGAAGGAGTAAATTTTAGCGACTAAATTTACGCCCGAAAATCGAGGCAAGTCTCTTGGCAAAGTAATCGCAGTCAAATCCAAATAAATGCACGAAGCGTTGTGGAAGTAAAGGGCGGACAAAGTAGGCCGTTGTTGGAAGGAATGGAAAGTGAATTACCGCAAAGACGGTATTTCGTTTCCGCTCGGTCTAGAGCGGCGGGACTGGAGCCGTCGAAAACTTTAAATAATTACGGGGGAAGGGATTATCGAGTTTCCCGGGCAGAAAGGCTGAAATTCATCCACGGGGCTTTCGGTTCCCAGCGCTAGGAGACATGGAAAGTCGGAAACGAGAGCGAGGGAGGCGAGAGCTTACACTGGCAAAACAGACCTCGGGATACGAGTTAATTATTTAATAAGCTGGAAAATGAATTGCGTCGCTTCGAAATTAGTTAACGTTTCGGGAAGGCGGAAAGAGTCCCGGTTAAGACTGCCTTCAGGATTCGCGACGGACGCATTTCAAAACTGAAATCACCGCGAAACTTCGCCCAAGGGAGAAGCGAACGTTTTCGATCGAATGAGAGAAACTAGGAAACTGCGCCAACAAATTTACACCGCGTCTTTCGTCTTATTTTCGGAGGGGGTTAAACTTCAGAGTCGAGCTCGTAGATTCGGTGGTTGTCGAGAGAAATAGGGAAGTGCTCGCAGGGGTTCGGCGCTCTAATATCTTATTACATCCGAACTAAGAGGTTAAACCAGATTCGGAATGTAAAATTTTCACGGTTCTTTAAAAATTTATATAGATCTCTCGACGTAAGACTTCTTCGAGAAGGCGGAAAAGTTCCCAAGAGACGATAATTAAATTTTGATTCATTCTCTCAGCTAAAAATAGAAACTGTCTTTCTTTCCTATCTCGAAAATTATCGAATTTCTTGGAACTTCCAACATGGTGCGCCCTGTAACGATAAAAAGCAGTCGCGACGAGGTTTCTTTCTAGGTTCTTTCAAGGTGACATTCTAAGCACCACAGGATACAAATGAAAAGCATCGTAAAAAGTATGCAAAGTACGCAAAAAATTGGCACCAGTTTATGGGCTAGTCTCTCACGGAAAGAGTCCCGTTTCGTTCGACGCCGGAAGTTTAATACGCTACGTTCCAGCACGGCACGCGACTTCTGCGTTAATGTCAGCCGCGAAATTTACAACGGATTCTAAACCCTTTGAGATTATGACCCTTTCGCATTTATCGTTCCCACGGTACGATCGCGATAACAACGGTTACATTGTACGCCGGTGAATTGTTTACTAATGCATACACGCCCACCGCACCGTAACTTTTTAATTGTAAAGTTCGAGCTTAACGACTGCTCCTACCTATTGCTTGATAATTTCAAACGACCTAAGCACCAAATAACGTTCGATCGACATTAAAAAAACCATAAACCGCGTGGCTGTGGCAGATACATTCCTACGATAGCCTCGGTTAGCGGAGTTCCTGGAATAACACCATAAAATATTCATTCGCCGTGGTGATACGGAAATTCATTTTCTTTTTTAACGTTCGATGCAAGATCGCGTAGGGTGATTTTGCGGAGAAGCGACGAATGCTGCCATACGTAAGATGCATTCGCAAGTTTACTTCGATAACAAATTAATCAATCGATGGGATCGTTTCTCGTGGTCTGGCGACCCTTGCTCGTCGAGTGTTCTTACAAGTGCATCATAGCAGAGGTTCCACCCTTCGGTTTCTTATTAGTCCGGCGAGTTGGTCGCAATTTTTCGACAGGCTGGAAACAACGGGAGCAAAGACGGAAACTAGCCGAGGGAGACGAGCTCTCGAAGACAAACAAAAAGAAAAGAAATAATCTTACCCCTCGATTTTACGGATCACTGAGTGGACGAGGTGGTCCGTGAAGACCAACCCCAAATGACGACCGAGGACGATCCTTGTACCGCTCCCTGCATATTACTCGCGGAATCCTTCGCGGACGCGAGTCCAAAATAAAATAATATAAAATAAAAAGAACAAAAAATGAGAAGAACAATTTCATTTTTCCAGGCTGTCGACCGATGCGTCTCCTTGCGTTATTACGAGCCATTCCTGCCGATCCTCAGACTTCGAAGCTCGTCTGGTACTCGAGGGCAACGAGTTCGCGGGTAAAACCAGATGGAACATGCGATTTCAGACATTTTACTTCGAAACATAAAGATATCCAAAACGCTCGAACGTAGAGGAACGACGCCTCGAAAATTAGACCGAGATTCCGGATTCGGTATATCGACGCTTTATGTCCGGGACAACATAATTCCCTGCGTTGTTCCCTGCACTTGGCGTCAATTAAACCGAAACGATTGTGCTGGCCCGCATTGTTCGCGGCATCGAATTAATTGCGGCGTACCTTCAACCCTATCGCGTAAAGGAGAATTGCCCGGAAAACTTTCGACCCCTTCGCAAATATATCTAAGACGCTCCGCTCTTCGGGGGTTGCAGCTGATTTCAAGATCGTCTTGGAAGGGCGCGGAGCTTCCGAACCAGTCGGAACTCTTAAAACCGGGGGATGATGCTCGGGACAAGTGTTTCTTACGACTCAAGTTTCTTCGACGCGCGGAAACACAATGCTATCGCGATCGAGCTCGAATATTGCCCGCGATTCCGTTTGCAGCGAACTCGCGTCGCTGACCAGAAATGCTGAAGCGAGGACTTCCTGAAACAGCACGTTTCATTCTCGAGGCGACAACTATCGCGGAAGAACCGAATTTCCTTCTCTGCCGATGGTTCTTCGTTCTTTGTTTTCGCGACCTCGTTGTAGTAATTGCGCTAGAGGCAGCCACGTTTACTCACCGTTCGCGTGCGCCGCAAGGAGGTCCCTGAGTTGCTGTTGGCCGGCGGTTAATTCCACGCAACTGACCCTGACGCTAAATCTGGCGCCTGTCCTCTGTCGTTGCTCCGAGATTCCGCGGAAGAGCCAGGCGATCGCGCACGGAATCGCACCTAGCGTATGCCCTGCCTCCGGCGTGCCCAGCATCGTGTGCGACTTGCCTGAAATTTAAAAAATCCGTTAATAATTCACGCAGAAATAGAAGTGAAATTTTTAGACACGCTTTTCCATCCACAGAATTTTTTAATTGATTCTTTTCCGCGTTGCTCTGTCAATGACAGCTAGTAAAGTAAAAGAGGAGATGGGAAAAGCTCGCAGGATTCAGGACTGGGTTACCAATAAATGGGTAATCTCCGTTACAACGGTATCGCGTATTGTTTGCCAAGCGGTTGGAACGAACGGTCACAGTTCTGTCGATTAATTGCATTCTTTCGCTGGAACGTTTATACACACGGCGAATGGGGGGGATGGTTTGGTGAAAGCGTTTGCCTCGATTATATCGTCACGTCGGAACAAACAGTCGGGTTTACGATTGATTTCCCTCGCTTTTCCCGGCCACGTGTCGCGGTGAATCGATTCGCACGGCTGCCTTTGAAAATCCCCACCCCCTCCCTCTCGTCCACCTCGTGTCCACGGTAAATCTGCAGATCGCCGTCGAACGCAACAATCGCGATGTCCGATTTGCGGCCAAGCACGACAATTAATTTGTTTACTGTTTAACGCGGACCACGGGGGAACGACGCACATCCCCCGCCACGATAAACGTCCCCCGACCATAGTTACAACGCGTAACGAAGCCCCGTCACCAGGGGATCTAATTTATAGCCAGGGCAAGATTGAAACTGATTAATTCGGTTACATTACAAGTTCACGGGTGCAACCAATGACGGATGAAATGAATGTAATCGGGATTGACGCGTGGTTGACGTTCGCGCATTAACAGCTGCCATTGATTGCCCGAAGGAAAGAATAACGTACCGAAAGGGCCATTTTTTTTGTTTCAACTGGCCCGCAACTTCGTTCTCGGGTGCGAAACTTGGCTGTTTAGTGGAAAAGTAGACTGGAATATTATCGACAGGGAAACGAACGAGTCTTATTAAAATCGTAAAATAATAGAATGACGTCTGTTCTTCGAAGAAAAGGGAGAAAGTGACGGGAGAGGTTAGAGGGAAGAAAACTGAAAGGAAAAGGCGTAAGAATCCGAGGGTGGAACCGTGGACCGACCAAGTAATGGGAAACCAGCGGCAGCCGTCGCTGAATCTTAAACGTTATTTAATTGTTTGAACGTAAGACGGTGAATTATGTTGTTATTTAATTAGAAACCGGGAAAAAGACTGGTATCTCGGCCATTCCGAGTAGAAGTTAACCTCCCGGTTGAATTCTGTAACGCTGGGCGAATCAACTGATCTCGACAGTTTCTTATTAAATTGAAAAAGTTTCTTATTACTGGGTTGGTTTCGTCACGTTTCCGTAAATTTGTTCAAGAGACTCGTTACGTATTCCGAGACCACCGCGGAAGCTTAAAATCATCTTGAGTGCGAATCTCGCGCAGCGCAGAGGGGCGCTCGTTCGAATACGTACGATTTAAATATACGTAGGTATGCTCGCGTTGTGGAAACACGAATGATGTTTACTATACGAGCATTCCATGGCCATATATGTATTTAAATTGATTCAGGCTTTAGAGGCGCAAATGAATATCGAGACACGTTCGTTTAACAAATCTCCACCGGTGCGGGTGCACAAATTCACCTCTGAGAGCCGCGACAAAGATTTCTTTCGCACCTTGTACGTAAATGTACACCATTGCGCTTAATCGCGGCAACGAGTCGTCGATTTATGCATGAAAACGCCGCGAAAGATTTAGCGAGAACTTTACCTGTTTTTTTTTTTCCTTCCAGAAAAAGAAGCGAAAGGAGGCGAGAAACATTCTCAGGGAACCGAGTCGCGGAAAACACGCGCAGGAGTGCTTTAAAGCCGATGCATCCGCCGATTGGAATTCTCTTCGAGTTCACCCCTTTCCGCGAGGCGCGGAACCGTGGCCCATCTCGTCGAACGCGACAACGCAACGCGAATCGGAATCCGTAAGTGTTTCCTCGGTCGTTTATATCTCGTCGATTCCAGGCGATCGAGCAGCCGTGAAGAACGTTCAAATGGACGCTGAAACTGAATGTTGCTCGCAGAGACAGTTCGACCGCTTGCTCTATCTTTTTCGACTAAAGAAAATCTTTTTCTTTCGGTAGTGGAAACGAGAAGGTTAATTAATTATTTCGACGCAAGGAAAACAATCACTAACAAATGAATGCAAGCTCGAATCATTATTATCCGGCTGAATCGCATCGCGTTTCGCTCCCCGAATTCACACTTCAGAGATTCACAGGAGAAACGTCGCGAGAAATAAATTCTCAGCCGCGGGTTCGAGATCAAGCGACATCCACGTTTAAAAAAAAAGTAGCGCGAATCATCGTCGTCGGTGTAATTATCACGAATATTTGCATGTCAAAGTTCCGCTACGAGTCCGGGAACAAGCTCGCGTGCGCTTTCTCTCCAGGTTTTGTTGGTTAATCTGCTTTCTCAGTGGTTTCTCGCGGTGAAAGGGTTCGACAGCGCGTACCTTAAGGGCCGCGACTGATGCAGAGTAATTAGCACCGCGTTACAAAGTACAAAAGGCCGCATTGTCTGGCTGGGGCATGCAGAGAGCGCTTCCTTCGCCTCTCTCTCGCTCCGTGGCCCGTTATAATTTTCCGTACGACAAATCCCATCCCTGTCAAAAGGTGCCGCGACTGTTTCTGTCGTTTTTCTCTGGCTCGTGTCGGCCGTTGATTCTTTGGAAAATCCCTTCGTGAAAGTTGTTTAAATAAATTGGGTTAACGATGAAATTCATTTGAAAATATGACACGTGCTTCCCTCTTCTCCCTGATTGCGTTTTCTATATCAGCATGTATCTGAAATGGATCGAATTCGCGGTCTAGTTACGATGTATACTTTTTCAACGTCTTAAGACATTCAAGTTCGATCGTTTCCGCGGTGCGTAAGTCTTCTTTCCTTCTGGCTGGTGCGCCCCGCGGACCTGCTCCGCTTTTGTCCTGCGTTCGTCGCTCCTCTTCGTGTCAAAGCAGCAGGGAGACGGCGAGGTAAAGAGTTAGGGGAGTCAGGTTACAAAGAAAGGAGAACAGAAGGGGGCGAGTGACACAGAGGGAAAAGAGAAAGGGAGAGAAGTGCGTTGTCGTAGCGATGATCAAAAGCAGTTTGCTAGCGGACTTGCCTCAAGTATCTCCGCCGGTGGCGCGAGGGGATGAAAGTTCGTTCGGCTTCCTTCCACGTCTTTCTTCTCCCACGTTTCTTTATCTCCGCCTGGTAGACTCTTATCTCCCGCCGCTACCGTGCTTTCCGTGTCTCTTTCTTGCGTCTCTTTTTATTGATTTTCCCTCGCGCTAAATTTCACCCGACTTCGTGCCGCGAATTCGTACGATCGCTGGTTTGATTTTCACAACCACTTTCCATGTACTCTTAAATCACCGAGAATCGAATTAACGCGTTGCAAAGGAAAGAAGGACGAGGACGAGGTTCCTAAGAGACATCTAAGGGTTAATTGTGCTTAGACGCCACCGTGATTAACGATCGTCTCGAAGCGTAAGGAGCTTGGGATACGGCAGGAATTCGAACCCTTTCTCATAGTCTCATTTCTCGCGTCGTTCACAGCCGATACAGTGCGCGAGCGAACAGAACAGCGAAGTTTAATCAATCTGTTCGCAGGGTTCGCCGTAAATCCGTCAGCACGGAAGTTATTCCCATTGAAAATGAAACGGGACGAGGTGAAGATAATCTCCGGTGTGCGTTAAGATTCGAAAGGTGGAGAAGGGGATGGAGCGTGTCCCAGTAGCATACATTATCTCGTTTCCTTTCGACTCCGCCTCTTCGTCCTCCGTTCTCGACCCTTTTCTCTCTTCGTCCATTTTCCCGGGCCGCAGAACGCAGGCCTCCTATCCATCCTCCTTCCTCCCCCGGCATTGCCAGCCGAGAAAGCCTTCCTTCCCCTCGGTTGCCTCGCATAATCATGCATTTGCATGCAAACTCGATATCACTACTTAAAATGTAAAACAACTCGCGCGTCTCGCCGGCCGTGTTCCTCGTCTGGTTTCGCGGAGTACTATGAAACGCAAACGGCAAACGAGCGGTCTAAGGATGGAGAAAGATCGTCTAAATAAAGAATCAACACCACGTACGCGTTTCACCTGTCAAATGCTGTCGATCTGCGAACCTCAAGACATTTTCCGCGTTTTCCCGACTATTTTCCTGTGCTTGGAAAAAATTCGCCCGTTCGCGCCCCAGCAATATTTACGCGAAGCGTCGTGGCGTCCCCGCGATCCCTGCATCATCGCTAAGTGCAAATTGCGTCCCGTCGTTGGACGAGCGCGTGAAAAAGAGCGCAGTAGGACGATAAGAACGACGAGAATTCCTCGAGGTATTCATATTTCATGTAATTATTTCAACGCTCGACTCGGATGAGTTCCTCGAAGGGAAACAATGGCGTTTTGTCTACGAGGACGTCGAACTTTGTCGAACAAAGCCAGCGAAAAGAAGAACGGAGACGTTGTCAGCCCTCGCTACGCACCACGTAGATCCAGAAGAAGCGTTTAACCTGCTTTTTGCTTGGAACGTCGATGCTCTTCGTGCGAGCAAACGAGTATTTACGCAACGAATTTTGCTATACGCGCGCGTGTATTTGGTCTTAGCAGTTTCAAAAACTTACCCAAACCCGCGTGTCCGAAGCAGAACAAGCAACCGTCCGTTCCGTTGATGACTGCATGAATGACGTCGGTCAGTGCGCTCGAACATATTTCAGTCTGAAAAGAATGCGAAAAGTGATTATCGAATTTTGTACATGGCGATAAAAGAAACAGGAATTTTTGCATCGGCCACTTCCTATTTTCCATCGAGGATCGCCGCGAGCTCTACGCTGAATATTTAATTACAACGAGGAGATCGAGGCAGCGCACACCGAAACGAAAGTAAACAATATTCCGCAACGATCGCGTTTTCCCAAGTAACCGACGTCAAGTTATTCAACGACGGAACGCGAGACTCGTTCGTCGAAAGCACGATGGACGCGAATTTAATTTCTCTTCATCGTCGCGCGCAGAGAAGGCCTCATCCGACGAAAGGAGGAGAACGTCAGGACTTTCGAGGGTAACGACGAAGCCTTAACTTTAAAGTGCTTAAGAAAGCGTTTGCGGGCCGGTTTAATAAACGCGCACGTAACGTTCTACGAGCCGGGAAAAGAGGGGAGAGAAAAGGAGGCGAGGATTACAGGAGGAGCGGCTTTGTTTGCTTTTAATATATTCATAGACTGGAAAAGTCTTTTCCGGGGCCGAGGAGGAAGCGCGAGATCTTCGGGGGTTGCTTCGCCCTCCCCCAAATACGAGAAAAATATTTATCGAGTAACCGATGACGAATCAACACACTTTTGTTCGTTATTCGAAAGATTTATCCAACGTATTTTGCTCCTGTCTGCCTACCAGCGTGCATCGTGACTTTCGAGGGCAAGGGCGACGATTATCGCCGGTCGTCGAGGAAGAGGGTATCGTCGAGCCAGGATAGAGGGAGCAAATCGGCAGAGGGTTCCCGCGTTTCGCGAATTTCCTGCGGAAGCGACCGGGAATTTCCTTCGAGCCTTCCAACCGATTCGTTTTGACCGATCGATATAGACATCGACCATCCTCTGTCGCTCTTGCAAGGGTTAGCAAACGTTTCGCGACCGGAAGGGGCGGCCAGAGAGAGACAGACGATGGAAAAGGGGGAGCAGGTTGCAGGGAACATCGAGAGCAAGATGAGGACGTGTCGATACCTCGACCAAACAAGATTGAAATCTTTGTGGACGAGAATCGGATGAATCTCCCAGTCCCGGGGTGGAAAGGGGAGATGAAAGCAGGGTGGAGAAAACGAGAGAGCGCAGTTGTGTAGGAAGGAAAAGAACGGAGGAAAGGGACAAACAGACATTTTCCCGAGAACGCAAGGCCAGCGCGAGAGAAGAATCGTACGGGAAAGCGAAGCGAGCGATTTGGATAGAGGAAGCCCTTCGGGGTCTTTTTTCCTCGTCCTAAAGGAAACGGAAATAAGGAGTCCAGTTCCCTTTCCAATATGGTAATTTCAATCTGTCGTTACTCGTTTCAAAGCACGCTAGACCGGGGAACGAATCTCGTCGATACGGTCCCGATGAGACACTTCTGGCCCAAGTTGCACGAGCAACGAATTTCCCGCGGAAAACTGAAACGTGCCGACATCGTCCGCTTTATCCGCAAGGACTATCGAAAGCTGCGTTTTCGAGTGGTGCGATCGAATCTTCTTTGTAAACCTACTGGTAAAACATATTTTCCGGGTGCGGGCTAGCCTAAATCTCGATGAGATTAACGGCGCTGAAAGGGACGAAGAAAGATCGACGCTCTTTCGCTGGACAACAAGAAGATTCATAATTATAACGGGATCATCCCAAGGGATGTAACGCAAAGCAAACATATTTCGCGGCTACCTACACCCTCGAGGGATCTCGGTAGCCCGTTCTACGTGGTCACGGGAACCGACGGCATCACTGTTAATGAAATACGTGACCGAAGCCTTCGTCATAATCTCAAGCACTTGATTCCGCGATGAACGAAGGGTGCGCAGTTCGCAGCGGAGGAAAACATCCCTTTCGTGGATCGTAGGCTCGACAACGAATTCAAATTACGTCTCCGACCCTGGTCCGGGGACAAGCTCGATTCCTTTTCGTGGAAAATTTATTACCAACTCGCCGTGCCGTCGCGTGATCGAGTTTACGACTTGTTCGCCGTGTTGGAGATTAAGAATTTTTATACGCCCCCGCTTCGGCACTTTCTCTTACGCTTCGCGTACCTGTGAATTGTAATTTCAGCTCTGATGACTTTCGGTGCTTCTTCTTTTCGTTATCATCTCTAGAGTTCTTACGTTTTAGGGCTCCCTGAAAATTTAGCTTTCCTCTTCCGTTTTGTATTCTCAGGTAAAAATTTCATTTCCCGATTCACCGGCCAGATCTTCGTCGCGAGAAGATAAAACGCATTCCGCGACGTCTAGAATCTCGGCACAGCTGCGAGGCTCTTCCAACTCCCATTTCCACAACTGCCGAACTTCCGTCGAAGCATCGAATAATTACGATCTCGAGATCGTCTTTATGCAGTCCGTTCCCTTCTACCCGTCGCCTCGAAGCGCCATTCAAACGAGGACACTTTCCTCGGGGACTTGGAGATCGTACGACTTCCACGAAGATCCCAAGTACGCCGTAAAAAAATTTTCAAGGAAATTTTCAAGCCGGAGGAAAGAATAATTGGACGCTCGTACCTGCCAGCGCTCGGGGAAACGAACGAAAAATTGATAGCAGGAGTGCGTACAGTTGGTTCGCGAACGACGTGCGAGGAAGCTGGAAGAAGCCGTCGCGGGACGATTGAAAAAAATCGAGCATGAACAGGCTTCGTCTCAATTACAATCTGGGGGGTGGACATTAATTTCCACGGGTGTAAATTAAAAGGGTGCCCATGCGGTGCGACTCGCCAAGCGGCGTCGTCGTCTCGGTGTCATCGTGGCCCGCGTTGCTCCGATTCCGTTTTCAGGACGCGTTCTAGTAACGCAATATTGCCGCCGCTGCGTGGAATACCAATGACGTCAGGGGGTTGAAGCAACGGAGAGGAGTTCAGAGCGATTCTCGTGGCCCGAGACAACCTCCTTCGTCCAGGGCCGCGCGGGTATTCGCCCACCCTTGCGAGAACTTTCATGAATTACAGGGAAATCTTGGGGTTTGTATCTTACTATTTGTTAACACGTGTTCGGGATGATTGGATCGAGCAAAGTACGCGTATTTCAAATAATCGATTCGAATGGTGTTTCGTTGATTGACAACCCTTGCGCAGTGAACGACCAGCGCGTTTGCACGTGGCGGCCCTGCCTTCACCCCTTAAGGCTCGCTGGGAAGCAGGCACACGCGTTTCTCTTTCTCCTGGTTGGCCCGCGCCTCTTCGACCCTCTTCGGGTTTCCGTTCGCGCGACAAAATGTAAAACTCGTGTAAGAAAGTTCGGAAAGAAGCAGCCAGGGAAAAGGAACGCCCTGGTTGGGATGGGGCCACAGCGACGAAAGGGAGTCTTTTAATGGCTGGAAATAATCGAATGACCGCCTTTCGTGGATCTCTTAATTCTCAAGTTTCCAGATGCCTCGTCCCGCCTCGATGTTTTGGAGTGAACGACACAGCTGCAGTTAACGCGACCATCTTCCATTTCCTCGAACCTCCGGCGGTTTCGCAACGTCGTTACTTATCGTCGATAGTTAATTTGCGAATGAAATTTTCAACATTTTAAATACTATCGAACAGAGATGTGTTTAGATTAATCGATTCATGCAATTTATACGAAAACTTCGATTACCTTTCGAAGAAGGAAAGTATATGTAAAGAGAAAAAGTTACGGAACGTTTTCAAACAGTTCGTGAGAAAATCGATCAGGGGATTATATACTGATTTAAGTTGTGAAAGCTTGCCTTTCCTCTGCTTAAAGAGCACGCGGTGACTGATTTCGCATTATAAAACTTATTACTACAAGAAAGAAGATGAACGTCCAGTAAAGAAAAAAGAAATTGGTCGTCAGCTTTATCAAGCACACGCTTCAGCTTTCAATTGACGTTCTTCGGTCGGGTATAAAACCACGCGAGAACAAAGGTCGAACGACGTGTGAACCGCAGGGAGCACTGCTTAATGCAGAGAAAAACAGTCGCGGTTCTTTAATAACCATCGCGATAAGTCCAACATCACCCTCGACGGACGATGGCCAATTGCAACGCGCCATAAGAGCAGTATGGTTACGATAATTTTATGCGCCGTCTATTCCAAGGGAACGCGAGTTTCCGTTCAAAGAAAGAACGTCGACGGAACGCGGTACCATTTGCATGCAGACGCGACGATCGAGCTCGAAACGATCCGTGAAACCGTGGGTGGCGTCGCGAAATTGTTCGATGGAAACGGTATCAAAAACAAACAGGCTCGAGGGGGGTGTTTTTCGCCCTTGTTTCGGCGTGCACGAGTATCCACGGAGCGGCGATGCGTGGAACACGCGCGTGCACGCGCGACAAAGCTCGCTAGTCGGCGTTCACGAGCCGATAATTCCGAAAATTGCGCTCCTGTATGCGTGACGTCCGGTTTTTTGTTCACCGCACCGTGATCCGATCGGCAACTTAACCGCTTATAAATAAATTCCCACTGCATTCGAACGGGGTTCGAACGTTGGTGAAAATACGGCGAGGAAGCCAGGGTCGAGAAAGCCTGGTTAACCAGAACAGTTTGTCGCGAGACGTTCACGCGCGAATACCTTCGCCGAGTATTCGAACGGAATTTTAGTGTTAAAAACGAACCCGGGGAAAGTCGGGATAAATTACGGTGGAAATCGTTGCGCGTTTCCTCCCAGCCGGGGTTCGTCGTGCTCGGCTCGAACGTGGAATTTTCAACTCGTCGACTTCGACGCGAAACTCCGCGACGCGCGATAACTTTCGGGATAACAGGCCGGTAGAACTTTTTATCCAGCACCGACGCGTTTTCAAAGTAACGCGGTAAGACCGATCGAGGGCTCGTCGGGGCGGAAAGGGTGCGGAGAGGTCGCGCAAAGGTATGGAGGTGGGCCAGCAACCCCCGCGTGTCCCCCTCCAACAGGCAGCTGGTGAAATATGTCGCGATTTACACGGGAGATTGGCGTCATTGGCGCCTGGGGAGCGAGCGAGAAGCACCCTCGCGTCACCCTCGACCAAAACCAACCGGCGTCCCCCATCCCACTCTCGCAGATAGCGGTAGCTCGTCGG